ATAAACGTACTTCCACACCACAAAAGGTCCGGTTTAAAAGTAAAACCAAAATCTTACTTGTGGGATGTGACAGCTGAAGCAGTAGAACCTTAACGTTCCTGAACTGTGGATGTAATGACCCTTTTCTCTGTGGTTTTGCAATTTAAGGGTTCCAGCACGAACTGGAACCCGCAATATCTGGAATGTTTCCGCATGGAAGGCTGTTTGTTCGAGTCATTCTATGCAATGGTACTGTGTTGTTGCTTGGTTTCAGTCACCCGAAACTTACTAAACTAATCGTCAGTTGCGATGAGGATATCCAAACGATCAATTATGGGTGCTGTCCTCCAACAGAAGCAGAAGTATTCAAAGGCAACATCTGTCGAAGTTTTCACGAAATGAGACTGACATAGATCACCAACTTATAGAAAAAACAGGAATGGGGCTATAGGACTTAGGGAAATGTACTTTAATCACATTTCTTATGATTGCATACATGAATGAGAAAGACTACCGTCATGTAAGTTTTGGAAAGTCTATGATATATATGGGAAATGACCCAACGAGATATGTCATCGACTAGGCCTATACAGAATGACGGTGCACGTTTTGGAGAACAGCTCATCACTTGCAGTGACCTCGTATGGTCCGAGAAAGGCTGCCGGGGGAGGTGAGCGCGATCATGGCGGTGATAGCCGAAAGTTTGTCGACAGACATTTTCATGTCGATGGACTCATGTCACTGCCCAGCAAGGAGGAAGATTTTGATTGTCTGCAGAGAAGCCAAGCATCATTAACGGCGTCAAACCCCCATGCCACAAGCATGAAAAACTTCGGTCTGGACGAGAATGGCCTACACCAGTGGAACTTTAAATTTGTAAGATTGTGCTGGGAGAGGGTGACTTTACACATTCACCTTCAAGGTGTCAGTCGCCGACAAGCCTTTCACCCATCGAGGAATCCTCTCCTCAGTGAACAGTCTATTCGGCCCATTGGGATTGGTTGCTCCTGTAATCACAGAAGGTCGGACCATAATCCGGGGACTCACCAATTAGGACGCCAATGCTTCCAACTAGGACGACCCATTCCCAAAAGATAGACGGAAGGAATGAGGAAGCATGGACAGATTCTTCTTCGAGAACATCGAGCAACTTCATATCCCATGGACTCCTACGTTCCGTCGGAATAATAACGTCACAGAGGCAGAACCAAGTCGCGAAAACGCTGAACCAATGCATGACCACTTTGACCAGTTATAAGAATATTATTTTTCTTACCAACTTGGTGATGGGTATTTTACCGGAGTTCAAAATAGTTTATCAGATTCTCTCAACTTTTAAGAAATTTCTGATAGTCCTTTAGGATTTGTCCGCCAGGTGACCACTGTAGGGAATACTCTGCTAGATTCGTGCTCATTTTCTGGACGCTACCATTTAAAAAGTTTGAAAATTTCATGACTGCCATTGTTCACAAAAATTGGTAAAGGTTGTGCTGTGAAGGTACCAGCATGAATCTCAATGAGTTGGGCTGGCCCAACTATAGCACAGGGGTCCAGTGTGCATGTGCCCAGCATGTGCCAAATTCATATTCACAGTAACTCGCCGCGGCGAAATTAATAACTCGAAAAAAAAATTGCAAGTGGCCCTTATACGCTTCCGTACGACTGTACATTTACACGATTAACGCACATAAATACGTCAGCGAACAACCTTCTCGTGGAAAAAATCAGTCAGTGAATTTTCGTAGCCAGCGTCGTCTTTTGTATTCCACACAATCAGTTGCTACCCATGGGGCCGAATCACTATTTATACAGAATTAAGGAGAACGATGGTTGAAAGTAATGGACATCTTAAAATTTACGTTAAGATATCCGTGTCGAAACACTTCGTAACTATTAACAAATTTATAATTGAAAATCAGATGTTTAAACGGAAAGATGTGATATGTTCATCCAAATTAACCTTGTTTTGGGTTAAATCGTTAGCCTGATGTAAATGAAAATATTGGATGGCTGAAACAAAAACATATCGCACTTGCCAATTCCCCACAAAACCACACTGTGAGTATTAAACAAGTGCAACTCTTCCCTTATCCCCCCAGCACAGTGTGCAGGTGGACAGTACTAGCTGCTTCTTGAATCGACAAAACTGAAAATTAAGGCCAATGAAACCCAATATTTAATGAAAATGGGCCTTTTGACACTAGGAAGGAAATCGGCCACGTGCGACAGACAGTATACGGTACTTCATAAGGCAAGGTGCAACCCACACGAGGGAAGATGGGGGATCGGGTTAGCGTCGGTTCTTTCCTCGTCTTGCACCAAGAAGGCCTGTGTTCAAGTCCCAGCTTGGCACAGGCTTTAAATACATTTTCCACAATGGCGGCAAGCACTTTGTAATATACTGTATGTTAAGCGCCTGTTCATTGATTAACCCATTTCAGATAAAACACTAAACGAATGTACAACTTCACTATCTTTTTTGGTAAAAATCGGAACACAAATGAACAAATGAAGCGATTCAGTGTTTGTCGTTGAGGAGGTCCCAGCCGACCCGGTAAGCCGTCGATGCACAATACACAGCACAAATAAACTAATTTCGATTAAGGTTCACAGGATCGCTGACCATTATATAGCTTCGTCTGTTGTTATTTTAAAAACTGTTGGTTTAATTAAAAAAGGTGTTGACCCTTTCTAAAAATGATAAGACACACACACTTTTTACTTGACTAAAAACGAGCAGACGTTTATATCACAAGACGTTATCGAAAACTTAAACGGTTACAATTGTACCGCATTCGATTTAAAAAAGTAGTGTTCTACGCTGGGTATTTTAACATTACCGACGCCACTAAAATTGAGTGAGATACACACATCGAGGGCAGAATCGTTCGTACAAGTTAAAAGAGTCAAGGCACACCAGAGGGAGGATTCAGCAACCAGGGGAAAATTTAAGAATTCACATCAACGGATATATGATTTAGAAATCGCTCAAGAAAAACATGAACCAACAAAACAAGGTTTACATCAGCAGGTGTCTAAGTTACTAGATGATAAACGTGAAGGTAAACGAGGATGAAGGCGGACACTCTGAGTTAGGAAAACGAGACAAACCCCCAAACGACGGTCCCAGAAGAGAGGGAAAACACAGCAAACGTTTTTTTTTCTCACAGGTTTGAGTAGACTTGTGTTCGAGGGACTTCGTCCACAGAGTTAGTTCCAACCGATACCGTCTGGAGAGAGAGGAAGCGTCGTGGTGTCACCCAGGAATTACAGCGTGGATTGGTTCGATTGTTTTTTTGTTGGTTTGTCCTGAGATCTGAAAAATAGAAATTAAAAATACAAATCAAGATTTCTTTACTCGTGAAGAGGCTTCTTTTTCTAAAATTTAACGTCAAAAATAAATATCCATTTTTAATACCTTGTGTTGTAAAGGTACGCATGAAGCGAGAATCAGAAACAAAATGGCTACCAGTTTCTTTGTTTTGGTTTTAATAATTCTGGCAGTGTCATCACTCTTGGTAACCGCCAGAGTCTAGCTGCATTATGGTTGCTCGGGGCAACAATGTTCCTCGGGGTTGCTAAGGCAATACGATTGACGGCGTTGGGGGTCAGGATTGTTAATCAAGAGACAGGTGATTTTGTTTGTTTGTTTGTTGTTTTGCTCGGGGTTAGAGTGTTATTATCACTTTTAAAATGAAAGATCAATTGTTCATTTTTCATAATTTTTGTTATTTTAGTTTAGTAGGTATACAGTGTCTGTTTTTTACCTTTTCTATTTTAAGATTTTGAAAAGATTTTACTGGAACACCCCTGTCCCCCAACTTCGCAAACCCCATCTATTTACAACGGTTTATTGTATTCGATTTATCGTATTGCCGCACACAGAGAGCTGTGCGTACGATCGCTGTTTGCCCCCCAGATGGCACAACCACGTGACTTGCTAACCTTCATAACAAGGTCTGGCATTACATATTTTAGGAAACATCATTAGGAAACTACTTGCCATGCAGAATGTTATGGTAGAATCATGACAGGAACACATTTCCTTCGGTGTTTGGTTCCTTGTTCTTTTTTGCTGTTAAGCACTTAATAGTAGGTCACGGGGGAGCAGGGTTTTATAGCACCGCTGCGTTTGTTTCTGCACAATTTATACGCAGCCGAAAGCGGTGCGTCCTGTCCAGACGGTAAACACGCACTTGTAATATACTTGTACATGTATGTTAAAGCCTTTCAATGATTTATCCATTTCAGATTAAGACGCTATAAAAATGAATGTAGAGCTCCACGAATTTTTTTTAGTAAAAATCGGAAAACAAATGAACAGACACACACGAGAAATTGCTTCCATATTCGTTCATGATTCTCGAATTTATTAAATGTAAAATTAATGTACCAACTGGAGAATTGAATGCACAGAAAATGACATTAAAGTTGAAACAAAAACCTGACACAGATACAGTTCAGGGCTTGGGTACCATGCAATTAATCTACAAAATACGTAAAAGAGATGAACCACAAATCGACGTTTTCCAAGAAGTATTTCGTCAACTTTTATACGGGGAGTCTCATATTGAGCAATTGTATTTACCTCCAAAACAGGATTTCTGAAAATGTCATTTTTCATTTTGAAAATAATTTAATGTTCTCTCATCTACATAAGCCTACGTAATCTTGCAAATTCCACTGTAAACATGCTTACAGGACTCCTTCCCAATACAAAACGTTCAAATCCTATTGTCACAAATCAAGCATAAATCCAAAATCAATCATGAGAACTCTTTTCATGACGACATTATATTCTTCTTTTATCAATGCGTTGTCGTCGAGTGAAGGACACCTTCGAGGTTAAAGTACATAAGTACATAAATTTGTTTGTGAACAGCCTTCTCATGAAAAAGTCCATTTGAAGCAAGATATGAGACGGAGAGAAACCCCCCCGGCTTTATGTTGGTCATTGTTTGATCGGAATCTCAGGAATTCTTTACAGACTTCTAAGGGGGGGGGTTGTGTTAGGTAACAATAGTCTCGAGTGTGTACAGGGATTGGACAGGTGGGGGGTACCCCTCCGCCGCATATCTTGCCTGGTATAAAATCAGTCAGTGAATAGTTAAAATTGGCGTCATCTTTTGTATTCTACACAATCAGTGGCTACCCATGGGGCTGCATTTACAGACTATTTGAACAGAATGAAGGAGAACAATGGTTTGAAGTAACAGACATCTTAAAAGTTACATTACGATGTCCTTGTTGAAACACTTTGGAACTCCATGTATTAACAAATTTACAGATCTGTTATGCAAAACTGCTGCAAACTGCTTGCTGACTACCATGACATCAAATACAAATCTCAAAATATGGAGGGCCTGACGTTTCCATCCTAGCAGAATCTTTCTCAACTGAGGCGAACCCTTTTGCCTTTGAGGCTGGATTCTGCTAGGATCGAAACATCAGGCCCTCCATATTTTGAGAAAGAAATTCGTCGCTGGAAATCAAATGTTTAACCGGAAAGATTTGATTTGTTCATCCAAATTGACATTGGGTTAAATCGTTAGCCTGTGTAAATGACAACAATGGATCGCAGAAACACACCGCACTTGCAAATTCCCCACAAAGCTTCACGGTAATACACATGTGCAACTCTTCCCTTACCCCCCCTCCAAAAGCAGAGGCTGTGTATTGACACTATTGCTCCTCCAACCCCAAAACGGAAAATTAAAGCCAGTCGCTAAATCAAAATCGGTATTTAATGGGAAATGGGTCTTTTGACACTAGGAAGGAATAAGCCACCGTACGGCAGATGGTACTGTACTTTATGAGGCAAGGTGTATAAGGCACACGACGGAAGAGACTGAGCATGTGAATCCATGAGTCAGCACCTGGGTTCCATGCAGAAATTGGACACCCCCCCCCCAACTACATAATCCACACCCCCTTACTAATCTCGGCTACTCTGCACGGAAACGTTCATGACGTGACTAATGGGATATTTCATCTGTCTTACCATCGCAGGAATGTGCCACACACACAGATTATTTTTACATTACAACGCCTGAAGTTGCAGTAGCATCACACAAAATGACTCCTGATGAAAGACAGGGCATACTGTCTGAAACGTTGAGTACCTCTGGTTCTCTCAAAACCACACAAATTTACAAAAGAGATATTTTTTGCATAGTATTACCGCAAGCTCCTTACCTTCACTTGGCACCTTCGCCATGAAAAACGTCAAATCTCGCCTAAATAAATCTAAAACCTTGCATCTCAGGAATGCTTAATAAATCCCCGCTTGAATAAGCCATCCCCCGACGCATGAGTTTAAAAAATTTTAGTGGCCAAGCAATGGAATTCTCATTTTCTTAATTTATAAACAGGGTTGATTTAATGCCGGTTCATACTTCAGGTGAATTTGAAAACGAAGCAATGTTGACGTCACGAAAGATTTGCAGCAAATTTTGATAAGTTGAAATGTGTTGAGCTTCTGCGAATTAACAGAGTGAATAATTGAGATGATCTGACGTGACAAATTCACGTTTCTGTTCGCTTTCTCGTCCAGCATGAGCCGGCCTTTACGGGTTTAATATTATGTCTTAATTATTCTTTTTAGCCTGCTCTTCGGCTCAGTGTAGATTATGGTCTTTGAGTATTCGTTTTTTCAAGTTAACGCATCCCACTTTTGCCAGTATTTTAGCAAGAGACCTTACTTGTGTCTTTTCGTCACACCCCTGGCGATTCCTCCAAGCCGTCAGCATGCAGTAAGTCTGTTGGCGCAGGTTCCCTGGGTTGTTTACTTTAAAAGCAGACATTTACCCCCTTGAAAATCCTAACTCTGGACCCAAGACCTGCTGCTCTTCCTCTGTTATTTCCGGCGCCAGTACGCCGTTAAGATATTTGTTACTCAAGTACTCTTCAGGATCCGAAGGATCTGCACGAAAAAAAAATCAACAACAAACTTTAAACGATTGCAAATAAAGAGAAGAAAACCTTAATTCACGCACACACGTCACTTCTTGTCTTTCTTTGGAGCTTTCCTGTCACATGAATGCAGTTTTATGTTCATATACAAAGGTATGTATTGGATTTACCTCTCCAAGATCTTTCATTTATAAATAATTAATAGATGCAAACTTAAATAAGCATATGTTACATTTAGCTATATTCCGCCATAGTTTTGGTGAGTTATCCTGCCCTCGCCTATATTTGAAATTTAAATTCGAAACAGTAGACCAGTGAGCTTGCTGAAATCTCAGTGAAAATAATCAACAGAGAAGGACACCAACCTGGAGTGCGTTTCCGTTTCCTAGATGCTGGTATTTCTATTGGACAGAAACATAATGAAGACTAAATCACTGTACATAGTGTGTAGCTTGATACCTCGCATAATTATTGTCACAACACTACAATACACACCGTACAATCCCGAACCCTGCCCACCAGTTCAATAATTAAACTGTATAACGGTACCCCCGATTTGAGGTCTTTATTAAATATTTATGTAAATTATTCGTACAAATTTGAAAAGAACATTTCGTTAGCTTATCAAAACAACAAACTCAATTTATTTCGGTCCCGAAATGACTGAATTATAGCCAATTCAATTGTTTTTTTTTTCATTTGTACCATGGACAGGCTTTCTCATGCCATCTTACGCACCCTAAAATGGGCTGGTCTAATAGTCTGATGGCCGTGATTTTAACACTTGCACATTGTCCTAAAAATTGTTCCTTTTTCTGATTCGTGGCTCTGGAGGATTTTAAGGGAAAAAAATTCGAAATTGTAAAAATGGTCTGATTCCCAACTCGTGAATCCGAAGTCACGTCGACTATGTTGGTGCAGAACCGAGCTAAGGCTGCATCCGAATCTGTTGTCTAGAGCTAGGTCTAGGTCTTCACTCCATTGAAAGTAGGTGGAGATGTGCAGACAATAGACCTAGCCGTAGCTCTGGAAAGCCTGTTTCGGACACGGCCTACGAATTGTAAGTCCCCCCAAAAGCCAGTTAGTGCGCATGTGCCTGGCAAATTATGGTGTTAGTTAAATTTGCCAGAGACGGCTAAATATCAACTGTAAAAAAAATTGCTAAATGAGAGCGATACCAACCTGGATCATTTCGCCTTTTCCTAGATGTAGGATTATCTATAGGATAAAAATTAAATAAATTATTGCAGAGCATGACATTAGCTTGACACAATTACACCATCATCACGAGAAAGTGCGTAGTTATGAGAAAAACATTCATTTCTTTTAACTCCAATATGTCAGAGTTGCTAAAATATCTGGAATTTGCTTTTGTCTCGGTGCTTTGTTTTTCAAGGGATCTTTGACATTGGTAATCCATGTTTTGACCAGCATGCATGTCAAGAAGCAAGCCCCCTACATTCCCCTTTTCACTGTTAAAAGCAGACGATCTCCCTTCTCCCTTGAGAAGCCTATACTCTCTCGTGGTTCCAGTCCGCGGGGCCCAGATAGCGACCTCCTCGCTGGAATGGACTGCTTCTTGCCCGTAATCCTTATCCACCTAAGCCACTGTGTTATGCAAGGCGTATCTAATAATGCAAAACCGCCCAGAATCACGAGGTACAGCAACAGCGGCTCTAGCATGGAGAATTCAAATTGTTATGTTCACATTCTCGCGAAAGGCTGATGATAGACTTGTTGGCACACGGTGAAAAAGCACTTCGCAGATTTTCCTTTGATTTCCTTTGATTTGTCAGGCATCCATACTGCAGTTTATGGAGACACCACGCGCTCGCTCACCCAGGCTGAGCACCAGGCTACTTCTTCACGTACACACAATTTGTAAAGCTTCTTACTGGGACGTTATCCCTTGTTCTTAGAACGTAATATCATATGCCACAGGCCATTTTAAAACATTTCAAGAGAAACGGGCATTTTTAACGGGACTTTTGCTCGCACCCATCACCCAATACGGACCGCTGGGAAGAGATAGTCAAAGAAAATCTAATGAGTGAATATTTCAAAACAAATGTTCATTCACACCTTTCTTTGTGTCCTTAGAGCTGGCCAACCCGCGCTGATATTCTTCCCACATTTCTAGACAGTCAAACCGAGCAATATCGCCAAGAAGTTTCCCCAAGAATGTTGTTTTGGCCGGGGAGAGAACACCTCGTTCCTCCAGTTTGCCAAAGAGATCTAATGCACTGTCCACCTCCAGATCTCTCTTCGTCATGCCTTCGACATCTTTGCAGAAGAAGACCATCTTCTTCAAGTCTTGCTCGTCAGTGATCCAGCTATGTTGCTGAGAGTTTCTCGGTACTGTAAGATTTACAATTCAGTGGTTAATCACCAACCCAAACCAAACCAATACCAAACCCAAAACCAAAACCACCATAACAAACCCCTCTACACACATGCTTCTTTCACACACTTTAATAGAGTGGCTAGCATTCCTTTGTTCTCCTGTGGGTAATTAAGAAAACTAGGGGGAAAATGCTCATTTCCCCCACTATGACAGCTCCTTCGAGTTGGCCTTGTAATGATGGTTTCAAAGACTGTTCCTCTTTATTCTGCCACAGATGATCCTGCAGTTCCATGATTCTGAACTGTTCTTCAGAGAGGGAAACACATGGGTAAGTGACTGTGTGGACGTCTGAACAGACGATGTCCGCGTGTAGTGTAGGGAGCGAGGACCCAGTGTGTTTAGAGGCTTTTTTGAGGATACGGTTTAAACGTCGCAGAATAAAGAGGAACAAAAGAAAATCATCGCTAACAATGTAGCTAGAAAGGGTATTTAGGCCTGCAGTGGAAGTTCAATCAGAACAATTTCCAGTCTTTCAAATCTACTCCAAAACAAAGGATATGTCCACGCTGGGTACGTAAGGCAAACATGAGTTAAGTTTAAAATAAATTGCTGCATAGTTTTGAGGTTTCTGGAATAATGTTCAGCAAAAATCTGTTAAAAAAGAGACATGAGACATGACGTTCTAGTCGTTTGGCCTAACTAGAAAAAATCAACAGTCCTGTTTTCCCATCTTTCCACAGTAAAAGGAACCGCAACTTCCCCCTACCCGATCAAAGTGGTGTTGTATTATTTGTAAAATTCTGGTACTTCCAATTCGTACAAAGGAATTGTTTCAACTAGGCCACAGAGGTGTAGTGACGGTCTTAATCTTCAAACCCCCTTTCTGAAAGTGGAATTTTCCTGAAGTTAGTTTATTTGTACACCTACAAGTTAAATAGAATTGACTGACCCCAGGGCTTTGCCAGAAGCTCGTCACATACAAAAAACATTACAATAGCTTTTGTAAATGTTAGGCACCACTGATCACCATATGCTAGACTGCTTGTTGAAGCCATTTTGGTTGTGTGACTACTTGTACAACAATCATATATGAAATTGTGTAAATTGGGTAGCTGCATGCAAGACATGGCCGGCTGTTTGATACCGCAACTTTCACTCATGCGACTCGCAGTTGAAAGAATTATGATCCATCAATGTGACCCACCATCGCAAAACCAGGCTGAAGTCGGTATTTGTGATGTTGGTCAGTTCCTTGCCTTCAGCTTTTTTTTACTTTTTTAAAATGATCCATGTTAAATCTAAATTCAGTCTGCAGTGAGCTTCTTACAGGCAGTGATAGCTGTAAAACTCCCATAAAAATCTGAATAGCGGAAGTTCCACTCTTTAGGGTTATGAACAGCCTGGAGTTTGGGATGGCAGGTCACAAATGCTTCCACCTTGGAATCAGGAATAATGATCGAGCAAAATTTTTCGATGTTGCCGCTGAATGCATTTTTAAAGGGGTTGAGTCTTTGGGAGTTTTAGAGTAAGTCTGTGCAGTCGTTTTAAATAAATTAAATTGGCACCAATTTTGTGAATTTGGAACATAACGTTCTTGCCCAGCCCGCATTTTTCCGAGACGGGACACGGTCCTTTTTTCACTACGGTGCATGCTCAATGCATTCGGCCGCGGTGCATGTAGCATGAACTTCAACTGCCGGTAACAACAAAATAATTCGCTTGATGAAGTTCAATTTTCACACCTGTAATGACATATAAGGAGTTTCTTTAAAAACATATTATGTTTAAACCCCCCCCCAAAAAATAACCTAGCAAGTCCGAGACAGCGGAGTTGTGTGTGTGTGTGTGGGGGGGGGTATACAACCCCACCCCCCAGGATTTGCGCCCCATGATGGATCTGTCACGGCTGGAACTGAGCCGAGTCCATGTGAACTTGCACCCTTGGTGCAAGCTTTCGTAATAGAATTTACTCACTAATACAGAAACAACTTTGGATTATAACTATGATGCTCTTGACACAAATGAAAGACTGTTGGATAATGTGCTATTGATATAGGCTGGCAAATTGCCAAATTCATGTAAAGATGAGTAGACTAATGCAGCGACAGAATATTATACATAAAGGCGAAAGCTACAGGGGGATAAGGAAGGTTCATGAGTGTAGTTTTCAACCTGAAAGGGTTTGCACATCGTCTTCAAAGGATAGTCTAAATTTAACCTTAAAAGAGCCGGGTTGTTTTGGCTCACCTCACAGCTGGGGAGGGGGACGGATTTCCCCCCCCCCACACACACACAGACCTGTTTGACATACAAAGTGTGGACTTTCCTTTGTTCTCCTGTGGTTAAGGAAACTTGAGGAAAATGCTCCTTTTTCTTTAACTAGGATAACTCCTTCGAGCTGGATTTTGGATGGTGATTCCCTGGACCTCGACCCCAAAATGCTTCTGAAACTGTTTTTCGGGGGGAGGGGGGAACATTGTGTGGACGTGTTCGAGTCCGCACTACGCCATCGCACCCTACATTATATGGACTTCTTTTGTGCAGAGGTCCACACTATGTAAGGCACAGCTGCACACACCCACACATTTGGGGGATATTGAATCCCCCCCCCATTTTGTGATAAGCAACACAATTAAAGTTGATTGTGAATTATTTACATAGACTAAAATGTTTACAATATTTGAATATATTGAAGTATTGAAGAAATATTTAAAAACCATAAATATACCATTTTGATGTAAGATTCTGCATGAATTTGATACACATTACAAATGTACATCTTTCTAATAAACATCGCCTCCTATATAGTGTATATGGTGTCCCTCCGGCTTTTCAGCCCACTAACCAGGTCGTAATTGGCGTGAGGACTGCAGAACACTTTACCTGACTATATACATGTAGACCTAGAAACTTGAGCAAAGAGCCAAATGTGTTCCTACAGCCAATTTATTTCATCATGGCAAGGTGATAAGCTCAGTGGTTACCAGAAACACGTTATTACTGTGTTGGACACGTCACGCTGTACAGTATGAACAGGCGACGCATGATTGAACCAACAGCCAATCCATACAAAATGGCGACCCGACCGTCCTTTGTTCATATAGGCCTAGACGAAATTTGAGCACATGTATTATGGTTCTACGAGTTTTGATGCATTAGCATTCCGGATCAATAACATTTAGAATCAATTTATTAACAATGGTCCAAATGACATGAAGCTCTAGTCCCTGTCACACTGAGTATCGGATGAACATCTTGCTGTTATGCAGCAGCAATTTGAAAGTTGAAGTTGCTTGGTTTCCGTGTTTAAGTGCCGATAAAATAAACAAAAATCTCATTGGTTTTCAGAATTCAGGCAATAAAAATATATGATGACAACATACTCCCCAAAAAACACTGGGAATGGATAAAGAAAAAACTCAGGATTCATTCATCCTTATATATGAGTACTTTTTAAAATTAAAGTCTAATTAACCGAGAGCGGCGCACATAATTATTCACGGCATTGAATCACTGGAATGGTAGTCATGTCTGCACGAATACAGAAGTTGATGAAAACAAAGTAGGCCTAAATGTGTTTGGGCTGCTTACCTCTGACATCGTTGGGTCTTCTCGATATACGGCAGATTTTAGAAGATTGTTTGCGACACAAAGGCTGAATTCGGTCGGTTTGTTTCCATATGTTCGGGAAGAGCTTTGTTTGCGCAGACTTCACTAAGTCGGGATCTCTCTGTAACGTCTTTGTCTCAGCTTTGGACACATACGTACCGAGACCGAGCGCAGTTACTTGCTTCGCGCCCTCTTGTGTCCACTTATTACTATGAGTTCAGGGCCGTTTTCCAATACTCAACTTCGTCTTCTTCTCAGGCTTCGTTTCAGAAACCAGTCCCCAATTGTGGGCCTGAAGCGTTTACATTAAATTGGATTACTGTCATTTTTGGTTCTCTTGCATCGTATTTGATGTTTTGTGGCACTATTAGACTAATTAGTGCGCTTACAGCTTCGTAGTCAGGTAGTAAAGCTGCCGGGCCGAGGTAGTAAAGCTGAGGGTCCTTTGTGGTGTTAGCATGTTTTCTTCTGGTTTGGCCTCAGCTACTTTGGCCTTACTCGTGAAGTGTTGAGTAGAGTTTGGAATTAGGATCGTACACAGGTCTATGGCGAAATAATTGGAAGTTGTTACATTTTCGGCGGGACAAACCACTTTTCAAGACTCATTAACTTCAGACGTTGGAGAAAACGACACGGAAGAGTAAAATAATTTTCGAAAGTTGCTCAAGGTTTCCCATACGTTCCAGAAATTTCTGCACTCTGACAATAACTTTCTAGTAACTTTTGAAAATGACAATTTTGCCCAAATAACCTAAGAGAACTCAATGTATAACCTGGAGAATACAGAAAGCTCCAGTCTTTAATAAGGCATGTCGCGGGGTCAAACATGGGTCGGGTACAGATTCTTGTATAACAACGAATAAAAAAAGCACACTAAATGCTAAAAGACGACAACCTTCTAAAATTATGTCAGTGTTTGCATAAAATTTGTTTTCTCAGGATTCCTATTGTAAAATAGATGCCAGATTGGTGAATTAGTTATTGTCCTTGCCCTCTAAATTTCTTCTTTTGTTTTTTGTTGCTCTTTGTGTTGTAAGGGCTTTTTTCTACAACGCCAATAGAATAATGCATACCGGTATGTTTTATTACAAGAAAGAACTCAAATAAAACGAAATAAGTTTTTAAAAAGAAGTAGCATGTGCAGTTTTGAAATATGTAAGTTAGCCAGCATAATTTCAGATGGGCTGATGTACTTTACAAAATTATAAGTACTCGTGTCATTTTATCCATATAATAATCTACAGATCTTAACTCAAGTTTAGCCTATTTAGTTACGATTGTATGTAATCTCAAAATGGTTGTTTTTGTGTATACGAGGGTCCCCAGTTAGTGGGCCTGTTTGCCTGTTCGGGGTTTCCCTTTTGCACCACAGATTGGTTTCGATGTTTTGTGCAATAAAGGTAATAAACTAAACTAAACTAAACTAAAATCACTTATCAAGTCGTTGAAATATAGGCCTACGCATGTATTTAAGCGGCGGGTATATGGAAGTAAGTCTACAGTACTGCATTATGGTACAACTGAAGCATTTCAGGGATCCACGCAAAGGAAACTCAGACAGCAAAACCACGCACATGAAAGTATTTGATAAATTGCAGTACAGGGGAATAGAGCAAATACAAAGTACAAGTAAAAGGCCTCTTTTTCTCCACAACACTCACCATTAATTTCTTGTGTAAGTACAAATACGTGTCACCACATCATGCTGGGTAACTCGTTTCTTTCTAACCTGATATTTCAGCTTCAGTGCCTAACCGGTGCATGTGTTACAATTTATCCTTCTGATTAAAATCTTTGACATCCTACGGATAGGTGATAATCTGGTCCTCAACGGTTGAAATGGTAGGATGCCGCTATGCTACTTGTTTGTCTACCCTGTGGCTGGGGATAAGTTGTGGGCTTTGAGTAATTTGAATTTCAAATCATTGCGTCCTGTTTTAGCTAGGCAATCACCGAGGAACCTTACTTGTTTCTCATCGCTCTTTGTATCAGTCATTGTATCACCTTTCCAGTCCTTAAGCATGGCTAAAACCTGTCCCTGCAAGTTCCCAGGATGGGATATTTCATACTTAGATAGTTCTTTAATTCCCAGATGGATGCCCAAGGGTTCTCTGTCCTTTGCGTGTATTTCCTTCGATAATTTCAGGAGGTAATCATCACTCAGAAACTCTGCGTAGAGACAAAAAAATTGAAAGCGATAATATTCAGTGATATCACAGCACTAGCATAAAGATGGCAGCTCTGATAAAAACAAATTAACGAAAAAAAAACAAACCACAAGAAGAAGCGAACTGTGATACGACAGATGAAGCAATTGATTGGTGACGGAACGTATGCAACCGAAGATTCGTCTTAGAAAGCAAAACAAAACACAAACCTGCAGTTAATAGCTTAATTTTATCTTCAAGGCGTACTGCATTTTCACCGGAAGTGTGTCAACTCAACAATTTACGAAGTTGGAGAAAGTTTTGACTGTTTGTAACACTTACCTTCAAGATCTGGATGCTCAGAAGATCCTTGTCCTTTTAAATAAAACAAATTATTGGAAAGAATTGATTCAAGCAATATGGAAAGTTGACACATTCTGTGGTTGAGGATTTTGCAGCACTAAAACTGGTAGACAAATTTTGCGATTGGCAGTCTTCCGTAATTCCTTTCAAATTGTTTCCAGAGTAATTTCATTCATTATTAATTTTCATGTATTTTGACTGGGTTGTGCGCTTACTAATCTTCTCGGCCGCTACGTTGGGCAGTACATGCACAAGTCCAACAAAGACCCAAACTTGAGTCTTGGAAATCAAACTTTTGTAAGTTACTAGTTTTTAACCGCAACAGTTAGCCTTTAGCGGGTTGAATTTGAATAAAATCTGGTACACTGAGTTATGATGATTGCACAAAAACATAACAACTTCAATTATCCACACTAAAGTTGCCATACCTCGGGACTCGGGCTGGGACAAGCTTTTGGATAGTGACCTCTTCCCCTGAAATGGACTGCTTCCCTTGTGCCCTTCTTATCCATCAAAAACAGTGTGTTATGCAAGACGTTTCTTATGTAACCCCCCCCCCCGAATCACGAGGTATAGCATCAATGTCTTCAGCCTGGAGAAGTCAAATTGGTATGTTCACATGAATTTAAAGACCTCAGTGTACCAGGTTTTATTCAAATTTAACTCGCGAAAGGCTAATGATTGACATGTTGGCACACAGTGAAAAAGCACTTAGCAGATTTCCTTCGGATTCCAGATGTCCGACATCCACACTGCAGTTTATGGATGGAGACGCTACCCTTTTTTTTTTACCCACGTGACTAAATGTAAGCAATACCACCACATGTCGACCGCCTTGGCCACGGTGATCGCATATATTCCGTCAGGCAGCTTCAACCACATGCAAGCGCACGTGCGAACGCCTCTTGTTTGACTAGTTTATCTTGAAAATGTAGATTACCATCACAACACTATGCACTCGTTACCATCACAACACATCATAGGTCAAGCACAATCCTAACACCACAGGAAAAAGGTCAACAGGGTAGACATAATTCTGACATGAAAGGAGCACACGCTCACTCGCCCAAGGCTGAGGACTGGGCAAGTTCTTCACGTATACACAATTTGTTAAACTTCTTAATGAGAACACTGTCCCTTTATACTCCGCATATTATGTGCCATAGGCCATTTAAAAAACAAAACGTTTCAAGAGAAGCCGGCATTTTACCAGGACGTTTGCTCACACCCATCGCCCGACAGACGTTTTCCTGTGATGTCACGACCGTGCTGGACCTATGTGTTGTGATGGTAATGTGCATAGTACCGTGTAGACTTGAGATCAAGTCGTTAGTCGGCCGTGTTTTTCGTCCATGAGCCAGCAGCGCTAAGCCCGTTCACCGTACCATCCAGGGTGCCACGCTGATTCGGGCCATGCGGTAAAAGTACGCGTACAATGCTTCGCGGTATTCACGATGTAACAATTGTACTGCATATTCATTTATTTCCATGGAGTGCGCGAATAGCAGCTCATGCCACATAACAGACTCATCCATTTTATATACATGTCTATCTATATTTGATTAGTACCAGTTTTTTTCATACTTTGCATTTAATACAACGCTTAAAGAAAACCTTCAAAATTTACAAAAATGAATCTATTAACTATATTTTTTGTAAAAGAACCGAAGGTTTTATGGTAAATCATCTTTTTAGAATAACGTAAATACCCTTTTCAATAAACGAGACTGTGGTTGTTGATAATATGCGTTCAACTGACCAATCAAACTGCCCCTGAAATAAATATTCATATAATCGGTATTCTTAGCATATCAGAGTGCTCTGTCCAATTTTGGAAGCAAGTCTCATATGTTGTGCACAAAAGGGCTTGCAGATTGTTCAAGTCGGTAATTGGGCATTACTGGACGAGCATATTAGGGAGCGAGGTTGCACTGACCGTTCCCGCGTTATTAATGTTAAACTGTACGCCGAACCACAACGCGTATGCATCGCGAAGATTCAGTCGAAGTCTTGCGATAGTAATCTACCGATTCAACTACATAAACTAGTCAAGCTTACAGCGTTCGCACGTGCGCTTGCACGCGGTTGAAGCTGCCCGTAGGATAGGAATGTGCGATCACCGAGGCCAAGGCGGTCTACACGTGGTGGTATTGTTTACATTTAGTCACGTAGGTGAAAAAAGTCTATACGGACCGCTGGGAAGAGGCAGCCAAAAAATCTAATGAGTGAATGTTTCAAAACAAATGTTCATTCACACCTTTCTTTGTGTCCTTAGAGCTGGCCAACCCGCGCTGATATTCTTCCCACATTTCTAGACAGTCAAACCGAGCAATATCGCCAAGAAGTTTCCCCAAGAATGTTGTTTTGGCCGGGGAGAGAACACCTCGTTCCTCCAGTTTGCCAAAGAGATCTAATGCACTGTCCACCTCCAGATCTCTCTTCGTCATGCCTTTGACATCTTTGCAGAAGAAGACCATCTTCTTCAAGTCTGNAATTTTGGAAGCAAGTCTCATATGTTGTGCACAAAAGGGCTTGCAGATTGTTCAAGTCGGTAATTGGGCATTACTGGACGAGCATATTAGGGAGCGAGGTTGCACTGACCGTTCCCGCGTGTTGTTAAACTGTACGCCGAACCACACCGCGTATGCATCGCGAAGATTCAGTCTTGCGATAGTAATCTACCGATTCAACTACATAAACTAGTCAAGCTTACAGCGTTCGCACGTGCGCTTGCACGCGGTTAAAGCTGCCCGTAGGAATGTGCGATCACCGCGGCCAAGGCGGTCTACACGTGGTGGTATTGTTTACATTTAGTCACGTAGGTGAAAAAAGTCTATACGGACCGCTGGGAAGAGGCAGCCAAAAAATCTAATGAGTGAATATTTCAAAACAAATGTTCATTCACACCTTTCTTTGTGGCATTAGAGCTGGTCAACCCGCGCTGATATTCTTCCCACATTTCTAGACAGTCCAACCGATCAATATCGCCAAGAAGTTTCATCAAAAAGCGTGGGTTGTCCTTTGAAAGAACGCCTCGTTCTTCCAGTTTGTCAAAGAGATCTAATGCACTGTCCACCTCCAGATCTCTCTTCGTCATGCCTTCGACATCTTTGCAGAAGAAGACCATCCTCTTCAAGTCTGCGCTCGTCTGTTTTTCAGCTATGTTGCTGAGAGTTTTTCGGTACTGTAATAAGATGTACAATTCAGTAGTTAACCAAAACAAAAACAAACAAAACCCAAAACACACTCCCTCCACACCAATGCTTGTTTCACAGACTTTAACAGAGTGGCCGGCATTCCTTTGTTCTCCTGTGGTTAAGAAAACTAGGGGAAAAATGCTCATTTCCCCCCAACTATGACAGCTCCTTCGAGTTGACCTTGTAATGATATTTCCAGGACAATTCCTCTTCATTCTGCCACAGATGATCCTGCAGTGCCTCTGAACGGTTTTTCAGGGAGGGAAATACTCTAGACATGGGTCAGTGATTGTGTGGATGCCTGAACAGATGATGTCCACATAGTGAAGATAGCGAGGACCTAGTGTAGACGCAGGCAAGTCCCCCTCCCTAAAAGCAGGTTTAGACGCTTTTTTGAGGATAAGGCTTATACGTCGCAAAATAAAGACGAACAGAAGAAGGAAACCATCGCTAACGATGTACCTAGAAAGGGTTTTTAGGCCTACAGTGGAGGTTAAATCAGCATAGTTTCGAGTCTTTCAAAATTACACTAAAACAAATGATTGTCCGCACTAGGTATGTGAGGCAAACATGGGTTGTGTGGATGTGAGCGAGTTCATACAAGTGTCTTCCAAGCTAAATAAAAAAATGTAAGGAGAAAAATAAGGCTTGAAAATGTAGAACAAATGTATTAGGTAGTCATATCGACTAGGACTAGTTACCCTTTTGAATGACAGGGGCATGATTTGGTGACAGCAGTCTGGCAAGAAAGTTGAGGTTGCTTGAATTGATTCTGCTGTGATTTGAAAGAGTTCCTCACACGCGTTGTTTAATATGTTACGAAATTTCTATGGCTGGACAAATTATGTTAGTTTTGCACGGAAAAATGTTAATGAATAATCTGTTATGATTGTATCGGAACATAATTTCAATTTAAAAAAGGATCAAATTTTTTACATGTCTATATCGTGGAGGTGGGTTACTCTGCTCTTATAATTCTTGACTAGGTCAATATTTTCGAAAATTGTTTGGCAAAATTGATGTAAAATTCAAGAAAAGAGTTTATAGACGAGGGGTAAAATCATGAAGAATATTCTGTAAGTTTATTCTAAGTCGCTGAATAACACAGTTTATAAGTATTCACGATCACCCCGAACAGTTGATTTTGTGAGATTAATGCCGTTCAAATTGCAAAGACGCTACAGAAAATTCGCGCGTTTTCATGAGTTTAAAATAAATTGCTGCATGGTTTTGAGGGTTCTGGATTAATGTTCAGCCAAATCTGTTAAATATTTAAAAAAATATAATGAAATCACAGAGACATGACTCGTCGTTCTGGTTTAGGCCTAACTAGAAAAAAAATTAACAGTCCTGTTTTTCCGTCTTTCACCTGTAAAAGGAACCTCAACTTCCTCCTACCCGATCAAAGTGGTGTTGTATTATTTGTAAAATTCTGGTATTTCCAATTCCTACATCTGGCAGCACGTCTCAAGGGGCAACTTGCTTCTGCCTATCCCCTCTTTTACCCCTCTTTGTGTGGTTAAAAATAAAATCAGCAAGTCATCGGTAATGAGTAGTTTTGATCAAATTACGACACACTGCGACATCCGACATTTAATTTTGTTGTTTCTCGAATTTGAGGCTGCACGCGTGTCAGCCCATTGAGCAAATACATGTAGTGAAAAAGTATAGTTCCAGGTTGATTTGTAACGGGGAAAATGGGCGCTGCGCAAGATGAGAACAGTATCTGTGATATTCAAAATCATCAGTGTCAAAACAACTGCAAAATTTTACCATAAAACCCCATTAAGGTACAATGCCTGAAAACACGCACTACTCCTATATCAAAAAAGAATATCGGTGACGGATTCTGCCCTCGCGCTTTTACGGTGAATGTCAATGCCCTTAAAGCGACAAGGAGCTCCAAAATTCCACTTTTATCCTGATTCAAATGATTTCAGAAATGTAGAACTTTGATGAGGTGTGGACGCGATGTTTTTATTTTTCACAGCCGACCGTAATCGTGACGGCTTTGCTGTGGTGACGATTGAGAGTTCCATCTAGGGCCAAGATGTAAACTCCGATACAGACTTTGGGTCGGTTTCCTTTGAGTTCTTTTCCAAGGAAGTAAAATATACTCAAATTCTGAATATATTGTGCATTAAACTTTGGAAACATGTATTGATTTATATTCTGAAAGTGTTCATTTCCTCGCCTTGTGGGCTTGTCATCTAAACTTGATGGAGATCCACGGTGAGTACAAACTGTCAAGTTTTTTTTTTCAACTAGATCAAAGAGGTGTAGTGACTGTCCTATAAATCTTCAACCCCTATTTTTGAAAATGGAGTTTTCCTGAAGTATGTTGATTTGTACATCTACGGGTTAAATTAATGGACTAACCCCGGGGCTTTGCTGGGTGCACTTTACGCACAAAGCACTTGTGAACATTACAATAGCTTTTGTAAATGTTAGGCACCACTGAGCACTGTATGCTAGACTGCTTGTTGAAGCCATTTTGGTTGTGTGACTACATGTACAACAATCATATATGATAGTGTAAATAGGGTGGCTGCATGCAAGACATGGCCGGCTGTTTGATACCGCAATTTTCACTGTAGTTGGAAGAATTTTATTAAATGTTATGATCCATAAATGCTCCCACCTTGGAACCGAGAATGACGATCGAGCAAAGTTTGATTACATAAAAAGACGATGGGAATTTTGTCTTGTAAGGAAGACTATAAACGAGGGATTAAACCAATACAAAAGAAAATTTTGATAAGTGTAGCGTCACCTTTGACCTTAAAAGAGTCGCAGGAAGAATTCATCCCCTCTGTACTTATTTTCCGATATTTCTGCAGTGCATTTTTTCCCCAAGAGTTCGGCCTATGGGAGTTAGAGTAACTCCTTGCGGTCGTTTTGACGCCAATTTTGCGAAAATGGAAAATAAAATTCTTGCGCAGCGCGCATTTTTTGGAGACAGGTCAGCCAAAAATGTACTTTTTTCCGATGCGGAGCTCAATGCACGCAGAATGGTAAGCAACAATTTTTACATCAACAATGACAAAGAGCGTCTTTACAGGCATGTCAGGTTTTTACATGCAGACCTACAGACTTGCACAAAGAGCTAAATGTGCTCATTTAAGCAGCCAATTTATTTCATCACGGCACAGCGATAAGCTCAGTGGCCGCCAGAAACACATGATTATTACTATGCTGGAAACGTCATGACGTATGGAATAGGCGATGCACGTTACATTGAACCAACAGCCAATCCATGCAAAATTGCGACGCGACATTCCTTTGTTCATATAGGCCTATATGAAATTTGAGTACATGTATTATGGTTTTACGAGTTTTGGTGCATTAGCATGTCGGATCAGTAATATCTAAAATCAATTTATTAAAAAAGGTCCAAATGACATAACACTCTAATCCCTGTCACACTGAATATTGGGTGAATATCTTGCTGTTATTCAGCCGCAATATGGAAGTTGAAGATAGCGTAGGCTACGGTTGGTTTCCGTGTTTAAGTGCCGATAAAATTCAAACATGTCATTGATTTTCAAAGTGTTTGGGCTACTTACCCCTGGCATCGTTGTTTCTTCTCGGTACACGGCAGGTTTTAAAAACGTTTTAGAAGATTATTTGTTAGCGACACTAAGGCTGAGTTCGGTAGGCCTGTCCTCGTGAACAGCTCTGTTTGTTGTTCCGCTCGACCGCCGGGAACGTACAACCGATTACCACTGGATGTGTTCAACAACATGCAACATGACGGCTTCCTTTTGCGTTTACCTGGGGTTACAACTGGGCTGAAATTTTAATTTTATTTTTTTAATATTTAATAGGAACATTCGTGTCTGTTTTGTGGGAAAGTATTACTGTTATAAATTTTGCAAAACTTTCCATTGTTTTGAGCTTTGTCAGCCCGGTCTCGCTATTTTACGGCTGTTCAAAATCAAATTCTCACGAGGTTTTCCCGTGTCTTCGTGCAAGACGCTGATTGTTCCGAGATAACATTGATTTTTGAGTGGGCCATGTTTCGGGCGAGCGGAGATCGTATAAATTTGTACCCGGGTCAAAAATCAACCGTCCCACCCGGAACTCGACCCACCCGTTTGGCATTCCAGTGTGTTTCATACGGTGTCCTATTAAGGCCATTTTACGCAGCGCAGTGAGTGTTGTCAGACAGTTTTCCCTTTTCTATAAAGGTTTTACAGTTTAAGAGGATAGATTGGTGTGCAATTTTCTAATTCTAGTTCCTAAATTATTGCTGATGTAAGCTTAACATGGTCATTGAGAAACCTTGTCCGGTTTATTCTATGTTTTTATAGCCCGGTGCAATGATATCGCGGACAGGCCTGTAGGGCGCTGGTGTGGCTCCATGGGGCTGTGCCGGTCCCTGCTGGTTAGCTTTGGGCCGGCGCCTGCGGCGCCGGCGCAGTAGCCTTTTTTGGATTTTCCATTACCTCAGTTTCGCGCCAGTCTCAGTTTTTGATGTGATTTGGAACAGTGCTATTGTGAGAGGAAGTCCAGATTTGCTTGATCCCTGCATAAAACTCCGTGTGTGTTCACCGGTTTTGAGGTGTAATAGAGGCCGGAAGCCACTGGACCAGATTACAAGCGTTTGTGGCCTTTTTCAGACGTGTACGAGACCCACAAAAGCGGCGACGTTAAAATATTTTTTCCTGATTTACCATTAGCACTCCCCCACCCCTTTTTTACAAATATTTCTCCTGCGCAATTTTCTATTAGCCCGTAACTGTCCTCGTGCCTGAACAGTTCTTATGGGACAGACTGGTCTGCAATCTTTAATTGGAGCTCAAAAGTAATATCAATGCTAGCTCAATATGGATACATGATGTTTTTAAACCGTCTGTTTTCACTAATATTTCAATATTCCTTTAATCAACTTTTTTTTTTACCTTAAGCTTGTTAGGCCTCTTCAGGGTTGCACCCCTGTTTTTGTGCCCGAATCCTAGGTCCCAATCCGCCCCATCCTTTCTTTTTTTCTTTCCCGTTAATTGGTCTGATGTTTTTGTCATTTGTTTATAACTCTCTACATAGTGAATGCTTTTAGTTTTAATGTTAATCGATGTAAACCCCTCTATTCACTTCCTATTTTGTCACAGGTGTGAATTGCAATAAAGGTATCGCAAACACATTGTTGCCTGCGGTGTATGAGTCCATATTGTTTTACGGTACACCTGAGGGGGTAAATGGCACCCGAGGCTCTCTTCGGAAGGATCAAAATTAAGACGTCACGAAGTTCGGTTTAATACAGCCTGAAACTTGACCTCTGAATATTGGCCGCTTCTAGAGCCCTTGGATGGCAAACATAACCTGCAGAAATTTTGGAATGTGGAATCTTTTTTTCTTTATTTAATTGGTGCCCACGAAGTATCTTTAGACGAAAATTACTAGTTTTTTCCCACCCTATTATAGCTAGTCATCTTCCCGATTTTGCAAAATACGTTAGGACTTGCCCTGATCCTACCATGGAAAATGTTGGTTCGGTATTATGTCCAATAGGCAAATAAAGGGAGCTTATTAATATTTTGCGATCCTGTAGGCATTTTACAATAAGAGGTGCTATATCATTGGGAGTGATCACGTTCTACATAGAGATATCTGTATCCGTATAGTCGAGCCGGCAAAATAAATGTCCGTTTTGACACATCATACTGGCCTGCGCATTGCGCGGATCGTCCAAACTGTCATTATTGTTAAAAAACTTAACTAACCCTTCCTTAAATGTCTCCAGTGAAGTACAAGAAATGACATTTGCAGGCAACACATTCCATTTATGCCTATGGGAAATACTGCTTCCAAAGGCTAGAGTAGAGGATCGGATATGACGAAACTGTTTGTGGTGTTTCCTTGACTGCCTCCTTGTTTTGTGAATGTAGTTGTTGAGGGTATTTCGGCCATATAATTTTCCATCTTTTAAATCATGCTGAGTTTTCTTATTTTCCTTCTCGTTTCCAAGGGTTCCCAGCCAAGTTCCTTGAGAATTTTAGTGGCTTTCCTGGTGTATGTTTGTAATTGCCTGTGCAAAAACGACTTTGTTTATGTATTCTTTCACTTCCTGTTGAGTTCGACCCATCAGAAAGCTCTCGATCCATGTAGCCAGTGACCCTCTCACTCCATAATATTTGAGTTTGTGGATTTTGAGGGACTTTGTCGGACGCTTTTGTGAAGTCTAATAGCAACATCGTGTGTTCGTTTCTCATCTGGAGCTTTAGTGAGGTCATGAATTGGGAGAATGAGCTGAGTTTCTGTTGACCTTTTAGCTCGAAAGCCATGTTGACAGTCAGTCAGAATGTGATGTTTATCAAAATGATTCATAATATGACTGTGCAATATTTATGTGCCCAAGAAGCTTGGAGGTGACTGGGGTCAACGAAACTGGTCGGAAGTTCGCTGCTTCTTATATATTTTATATATTTTCATAAATAACGGACTTTGAGACTTTTGGCGTCCAACTCGGTTTATTTCATTCACAAAAACATCCAGCCCGTGGGCCTATTTTGCATAGTTACGGACGGCTGCATTGAGAGCTGAGCGCATAGTTTTACGCATATTTTGAGGGTGTTTTGGGCGAAGGGCGAATAAACAAAACTCGTGCGTGGGGTTGTGAAACCCCTAAAAATTGTGTGACGCCGCGCCCCTCCGACGAAGGCGCCCTCCTCCTCGAGGCGCGTCGGACGGCACGCCGGAGCGTCCCTGAGCGGCTAGGGACGAGTCCGTTGGGACCGAAGTATACCGTCCCCCAATTTTTGGTCTTCGTCGAGATGATGGCTAATCTGATTGGTCGAAACTTAATGACGTAACCCGGACAGACCTGACTTAATAAAATTCGCCTGGACTCCTGACTTATATACAACAATTAACAAGCGGCTGGTTCATTCACCAACACGCTCAACCAATACACCAGTAGAGGGCGCTATTGACGG